TTTTCTCGAAGCATAGGGTGGAAAAGTTCAATAATAGATGATTGTTTCTGTTGTTGCATAAAGTTCAGAATGTGTTTAATTTAAAGTTACAAAATATTACAGGATATGGTATATCTTACAGAATGAGTCTATAAGATGCTTGATGATGACAAAATATAGTATATCTTACAGCAGAAACCTATAAGATGCTTAAGAAACATTAGTTAGTAAGTAAAAATAGTCCTAACAGGTGTCTGTCTATTCAATGTGAGTGTGGGTGTGTCTGTGTGATGCTGTGCGTGTGTGTGTGTCTGTAGTGTGAATGTGTGAATGTGTCCCCTTGAAGGATCATCCCTCATCCTTTTATCCATGCTTTAACTTTAAAATAACCTATGTGATGTTTACCTTAAAAGTCTTTCTGATTAGCATAAGGGAGTGCCATACTCTAGTAGCTGAGTCATGTGTTCTCCTTCTATCCCATTTTGGGCATCATGGTCTATGTCCTGAGTAATGTGGTTTATTCTTCAAACTCATTTTAAAGGCCAAGTCTTCTTTGGGCATTCCCAACAACTGTTTCAACTATACTTAGGTCTGCCTGTCAGGCTTACTGATTGATTACCAATTGTAAACTCAAAATCAGCAGTACAGTAAAAAACTGAATCTCTAAACTTGGATAGATTAAAATATAGAAAATCAATCATCATTTAAGGTTCACACATACATATTTCAATATCTGGTTTTAACAGATACACTTAATGTGAAAATGTTTTGAATACATAAGGGATTACCTTCTTGTATAGTGCAAACATTACCTAATCAGGTATAAAAGTGCAAAAAAAGTATCACTCCAGCCGCTAGCACCTGGGTAGATATGGGTGCAGACTGGGAGCCGTCCTTGCTCCAACACAGCAACACAAGGGAGAAAAAGCCGCACCCCGTGATCCAACCAATAATACACTTAATCCATAAGGCTGAGCATTTCCAGCATACGGAGACTCCCCGCCTAGAAGCTGCAGTCTCTAACATGTTTCACCCATTTAGGGCTTCATAATAAACACCAAGTGCCTGTGTCTCTATGATTAAGCCCTATATGGGTAAAACCCATTACATTACGGTATGCGGCTTTTCCCCTTGTGTTGCAAACATTACCTAGTTCTTCATACCCCATTTGGTTCCTCTGTTGATAACTTTATACGTAGTAGAGTGTACAGGTCCGTAACTACAGCTCACGGGGCCCCATAGCAAAAATGTGATGTGGCCCCCTGATTACCTCTTTCTGAGCTGTCATGATGCCAAGATCCCAAAGACTCCTCTTCTGTATCTGAAGTTGTCTCTACACTGTAGACTTTACAGGGGTTAGAGTTGTCATCAACTGCAACCACTCCAACCCTTAATCTTACAGCACTGTATTATCTTCTCATTCTTAATTTGACTCAACAACCTAATGGTGCCCCCTTCAGCCTCCAGGCCCCATAGCAGCCGCCTGGGCTGCTATAGCTATAGTCACACCACTGAGAGTATAAAGATGATTAATTTGATTTTTTTATTACATGTTGCAGGTTTGGTTCCAGAACAGAAGAGCAAGACATCACTCAAAACCTGTGAAACCCCAAAATGTACAGAGCAGACAGTTCCCAACGACAGGAGATCTTCCCAACATTTTTCACGAGGAGTACCAACATCTGCAAATCAATGGACATTTCCAGATCCCAGAAGACATGTGGATGTTGTAAATGCTGCTTCACCGCCATATGAAGGACTTTTATGTTATTTTATTTTAGTATGTGATGGTTAGAAAGCTATGATGATGTAAATAATGATATATTGATACGCGCACTTAGTTTAACTTATAATAAAATGCTCTCTTAATATTTAGAATGGAGTTTTGTGTGATCTTTCCTTTTTAAATTATCTTTGCTTGTTACTTTTTGAAATTGAAAAATAAGCGTCAAAAATATGTTTTTGAAAAATCTTTTTATTCACTTTGCAGTAATAACACATACAATTAAAGGCACCAACATAGTGCCCTAAGAAGTACATTTCAAGTGTACATAGTACAGCACAACATATGCTGATGAATAGAGTACAAGAGTACATTGCAAAACATTCTCTGATCAGGGATCCCCCTCCCCCAGTCCTCAGGCGCACATAGGATCCTAAGCACGATGAAGTTGTGCCACCTCTCCAACAATTCTCACAGGAGGAATAATCATTTATGACCCTGCAAGGCTTAAAATTAAATAACTAAAAGAAGGGAAGTATAAATTTCCCTAAAAATGTTTTTGAGTACCACCACACGGGGGTACAGCAGGAGGCAGAAGATACAGGTGTATGGCCCCAACAGGGACTCAGGGATGTCAGACAGAGTTTCCCCTATCCATGTTTTTATGTTTAATATTAACTCTTATAAAGTTAATAT